ACAATTAGAACCATGCTTTTACATCATTTACTGAGCATTTAAATCTTTGACATTTACAAACATTTGCATCATTTAATTTTTTTATTTTAAATTATGTTATTTTTATATTTTTTCGTTTCATATTCATCTTGTATCAATATATCATATTTAATTAAAATTGTTAGTAAATGGTTTTGGCAAAAGAAGAAAAAAAGAATTCTGATGATATTTTGGACTATCTTAGGAAAAAAGCTTAAAAGTATAAGTACTTTTTGACCTACAACTAATTTTACTCCTTTAATTAATAGTGCAATGACAATATGAATAAATTATTAGCATTTGTTTCAAAACAAATTTATTAGCATTTTTTTGTAGGGATCGATATTTTTTAGATGTTTTTACTTTTAGGTTTTTTTATTTATATTTAGTTTTTTGTTTTTTGTTTTTATTGTTTGTTAAAATAAAATATAAAAAGTAAAAGCATCTACTTATAAACAAAGCCTTATTAGAAGATTAATTTTTTTTAAGTAGTGTTTAATATGAGGTATTCATTTAAAAATTTATGGTGATCAGTGTATGATGATTAGATTACAGTATTTGATAATCACCAAGTGATCTCATGTGGTAGTAATTGTGAACCACCAAGGTAATTAAATCATTGTTTTGGAGGGTGATCTAATTCCCATCAAAAGGAGTGAACTTTTATCATCCAGGTGAAATAATGTGTAAAATTAACAATAGTCAATATTACCCATTTAGTATGTGAATTAAAAACTTATTTCTTCTTAAAATTAATTGTTATTATTTTATATTATAATTTTTATATTTTCAAACTAACATTCATTATAAAAAGTTCAAAAATATTTTGTGTGATCTTTTAATTTTTTTTTTAAATTTGTTTATAATATAATATTTTGATTTTAATATATTAGTTTTATTTTCTAATTCAAATATTTTTTACATAATTTATATTATAAAAACTAATGTACTATCAATAAATATATTTTTAATTAATAATTTAATTATATTTATTATGAAGTAAATAAAATATTACTAATATTTTACATTCAAAATATTATCTTTAAATAATATTGAAATCATTAATTTGTATAACTATTATGATATGCATGGTTATTTTTGTACTTTCTAACAAAATAATATTTGATTTTTAGAAATACCAAATATAGTAATCTTTGATTACTAAGAATTATTAATTCTTAACCAAACAAAATGATTCCACATCATGAGTGATAAGATCACCTTAGTAATAAGATTTCTCCGATAATTAAATTATTATGGTTTTCTTGAAAATGACATCAAACACTACCTTAATGGATGTTCACAATCATAAACACCGTTAACAACATCCATAAGGTAGTATTTGGCATGAGATGATAATTCAAAAAATCATGGTGATCGATGCATGGCAATTATATTACTATGTTTGCTAATCATTTAGTGATTCTATGTGGTAGTGAACTTGAATCACCGAAAGTAATCAGATAACTACTTTAGAGGATGATCTAACTCCTATCCAAAGGGAGGAAAAACTTTTTATCACCAAGGTGAATTTAATATGTGAATTAAAAACTTAATTTTTCTTAAAATTCATTGTAACTATTTTATATAATAAATTTTTATATTTTTTAACTACTATTTATTATAACAAATTCAAAAATAATTTGTGTGCTTTCTTTTAACATTTTTAATGTTTTATATGCTTATAATACTACTGCTTTTAATAGATTAATTTTTATTTTTTAATTCACTTATTTTTTTACATAATTTATATGAGAAAAACTAGTTAATTTGTCAATAAATATATTTTTTAATTTAATATTTTAATTATATTTCATTATGAAGTAAATAAATTAGTACTAATATTTTACAAATTATTATTTTTAAACAATATTGAAATCATCAACTTAGATAATTAGTCTAATATATATGGTTATTTTAGTATTTTTATACAAAATAATATTTAATTTTTAATAACACCAAATATAATAATATTTAATTTCTAAGAATTAAAGATTATAAATTAAACAAAGTGATTTCAAATCATGAGTAATGAGATTACCTTAGTAATAAGATTACTTCAATAATTAAATTATCATAATAATCTAAAAATAACACCAAACACTAACTAAATAAATAGTATTCTCTTTGACACATAAATAATGTCTTAATTTGATTTTTAAGGATTAGACTTTTTAATTTTGACGCCATTTTATTTTAAATATATATTGCTAATTAAAATGTGAGAAAATATTTTCTAATTAAAAACTCAAGTTTTCAAATATAATTTTACAAAAATTAATTTAACAAAATATATAAAACTAGCTTGTGACCCATGCGATATACAAATTAATTAATTTATTTAATTTGGAATTATAATTATAAAATGATCTTAAATTTTAAAAAATATATGAATAAAATATAAAGATATTATTCAAAAATATTAAATTCCTTATTTTTTTAAAATTTTAAGTGAAAATAAATTATCAATCTCTTCATAAACTATTTTTAAATTTTGTGTAATTATCAAATTTAAACTTGAAATAATGCATTTAAATTTACAAAATGATAGAAAGCCTTAAAAAATAAACACTTTTCTTAGGCTTAAAGGTATAAATTGGATAATGCTAAAAAATATAATGAAATACAAATGAATTAAATTATCATTCATAATTAAAATTATAATTTCATTCTCACTTTAATTATTTTATCATTTATATCTAAATATCTATATTTAATAAAAAAATCTTATATTACAAAATTAAAGAAAATAGTTTTTATTATTTGAACAATTTGATTAAAAAAGTAAAAAAGTTGTAGATACTGTAGATAATTATTTTCAAAAGTCTTATAGAAAAAAAAATATTATCTCCATCTCAATGTTAAGTTATTAATATAAGATGATAAAGTTTAGTAGCAAAGTATATATACTTATCATCTTACAAAAAAATAAATATTTTTAATAAATAAAAGTAAGTGGTATTATATTATTTTTATAGTTTAGTGTTTTACCTGTACCACAATAGAGTACCCCAACTCAATCTTTTCACTCCTGTATTTCATGGATATAACATTTAACAATACAAAACAAACAAAGAAACCTCATGTAGGATTATTTTACTGTTACATTGTAAAGCTCAAAGGCGCCTTAAATTTTAACATCAAAGCAAACATACCTCAATTTCTACTTTATACGATAATCTAGTTAAACAAAATGTAGTATTTAAATATTGTCATTATAATTTTTATTGATTTTTACTTGATAAAACTATTGTTTTGTTTTGATGAGATGCTTGATTTTGAAGTTCCAATTCATTTAACTTAATATAAGACCTATTATTCCTGAAAGCAAGCTCTAGAAGAAGGCCATTGTAGCGTAAAAATCCACAAATTAATAACAAACCATAATTATTGATCAAGTAAAATGAAATTGATAAGAGAATTTTTGTCACACTGATATTTTTTAGAGAGAATATCAATTGCAGATGAAAACTAATAAAGCTTTGGATTGAGTGTTTTGTAATTAACATCATTTTCAACCATTAACCAGCTGCCAAGAATCAAAACAATAGTTTCTCAAAATTAAAAAAATATATATATGCAATTGGTAATAAATGAAAGAGATGAAGATGATATTTTATTTGATACAAGTACGACCAATTCCATTGGTATGTGCAATTGATGGACTAAATGAGTTATAGGAGAAATTCAACACAAGAATATTTCATCAAGGTGGAAGATGGCATCCATTAAATAGTGAAATAAATGATATTTGGTGTTTTAAAATTTATTAGAAAATTTTAAAAAATAAATTTATATTTAAAATTTTTAAATTTAAAACAAATATATTTAAATTGTTAAATATATATTTAAATTATATATATTTAAAAAATGATTATATATCTAGATTGTTAGAGATAAATCTAAATTATTTTTTTTTTTGAAAATTTAAAAAAGATATATAGATGATTTAATATTTCATTTTAAAAAAGATATAACAAAATTATTGATTTTATTCTAAATGTATTTGAAAAAGTGAGTTTATGATAAATTTTATTGGATTTAAACTAAAATAAAACTCTTGAAATATTAAAATAAATCTAATTTTTAAACTTTCACATATTTTTAAAAATAAAATAATTATTGAGTAATATTATTTGGTTAAAATTTTAAATTACATTATTATCTTACATGCCAAAAATATAGATTATCCATGTAAATATCCATGTGATATACCTTATTAGGTATTCATAAATTCTGTAATATAATATATATATATATAATATACATTAGATTTAAGATGAAAATTTTTTGAATTTTTACAATCTTACATAAAGTTATTTAAATTTTTAATGTTTTACGTAAATCTTTTAAAAATATATATATTTTTAAATCAAGATAAAAAATATTGATGAAAATTTTGGATAAACATAATCTTTGTAATTTTTAAATATGTTTAAAAGATTTTGATAATTAAATAATTTTTTAAATAAAAATATTTGATAAACAACTAAAATTATTTATTAAAAAAATAAAATTCATATTTTATATTTTTAATTTTAAAAAATATATCTCTAAATTGATTTGATTTTCAATTATAATTTTAATAATTTTAATATTTAAATAAATTTAAAATAATTTAATTTATAATTAAAAAAACTATCTTATTTTAAAAAAAAAAAACTGTCCTATACGTCATTTAAAAGAATTATTTATATAAATATTTATGTGACAAATTTATTTTTATATATATTGTTATATAATATATATATATTAGATATTAATAATTAATGTTTATAAAATTTGACTAAAAAATATATCAAATCAATCATAATTTACAAGATCACGAAGGAGAAGTAAAAAAAATAAAAACATAATAATCCATTCATTTTCCACATTTATTCTGGAAGCTTTATTTCGAATGGGATGGTAGTGCTTTGCTAGTGCAAATGCACAAAATAGAAACAACAAACAAATGCTTGCAACAGCTAATCACCGGTTTGTTTTCCTCCCAAATCATAAATCAGCCTAGAAATAGAACAGAACACCATTGATTTATTATTTATACTCATGAAATTGAGAAATTCTTTTCAATATCCCAAAGCCCAAAGGCGAAGCACGTGGGAGCGGAACTGATCAAGCGCCCTTAAGCAATGCATCAGCTCCTGCCTTTATCAGCTTCCAGGCGGCAACCACGTGGCGGTCCCTGTCAGCGTGGCCCCCACCGCAAATCTTAGTATGCATACCCCACCGATTTTTGTATGGGTCATATAAACCCGCCCTGTTGAGTTGACCCACTCCAATAGCTTCCGGTTCAACATCTCGGTGTCATCCGACCCTAAATTCTCAACGGGGTTTAACCGAAAACACACCAGCCCGAACTCCCTTGGCACCACCATTTCGAAACTTGGGTCGGATCCTACGTCCGGATGTGACTTTGTAGGTTGACGATACCGTAGCTTCGGAATATGAGCCATAATCGTAACGATTTAAACCTCCGACCTGTACCAACTTGCCAATCCTTAAAATCCACGACTGAATCCGATTCGCTTTGTTTGTTTCTCAAGTACTCCGGGTTGGTGCTTAGTGCTTTCACTACTAACCTGGGCTTTTGGACCCACAAGCAGCAACAATCCAAGAAACTCAGTAGCCCCTTATGGGGACTCAAACTTAGTGAGTCAACTCGCTCTATCCCATCAAGGTGATGCCTGAACTCCGGGCATATACATGCACTTCCCGCGTAGGCAGCATCCACGTGCACCCAGATGCCATGTTCCTTCGCCACGTCAGCAAGCGGTCCTATTGGATCAACGGCTGTGGTGGATGTTGTCCCCACATTTACACAAAGGTAAACCGGGACCAACCCGGATGCCACGTCAGCTTCCAGTACCGTTCGGAGGTGAAGGGGAGATAGAGAGAAACCAGTGTCGAGAGTTGTGTGAATTGACCGTATGTTTGGAGGTGAAATACCAGCCAACTTACAGGCTTTGGCGAATGTAGAGTGAGTTTGGTCAGATGCGTAGACTACAAGCTTGTGCATGTTGTCGAAGCCGACAACATCGAGAGCTTTGTCCCTGGCCGCAATGAGAGTAACGAGAATAGCTTCGCTGATGGTGTTTTGGATTATGCCACCTCCTGTGCCTTGAAACATGAACGCCTTCGGTAGGTTCAGCATGTTAGCTAGCCAGTCCATGACCGTCATTTCGAGCTCCGTCGAGGCTGGGGAGGCTAGCCAGTTGAACCCTGCGGAGTTAAAGCAAATGCAAAGCATTTCTCCAAGAAAAACAGCAGTGCTAACAGTGGAAGGAAAAAATGCAAAGAAGTTAGGGCTTAGCCAGTGAGTCATGCCTGGGATTATCTGGCTTTGCACGTCTTTCAGGATTGTTTCGAAGGGTTCAGCGAGATAGGGTGCGTTTTCCGGAGGTTGGTGTGGAGATAGCCAGGCTGCACCGGGCTTAGAACTGGGTAGCTTTCGATTTTTTGGTAATAATCAGCAATGAAATCTACCATTTGATGGGCTTGTTTTCTGAATTCTTCAGGGTCTAAGGGATTGAAATGGCGAGTGTCGGGCAAGTTAGATTCAAATCTACCCATAATCAACAAGTTTAAAATACACAGAAAGAGATTGTGTTGCTTCAGAGATGTGCGCTTATATTGGTACAATTAGGGAGGGAGTTTGGCTTTTTTTTTTGGCCAGCGGTGGGAGTTTGGTTGTATGTATATATATTTGCAGTAGGGAAAACAAGTAAGGAAATACACGGAGTTAATATTAATTTGAATTGGACACCAAAAAAAAGGAAGTGTTCTGAAGAAAAAAATGGTGGATAGGTTTTTTTATGGGCTAGCTTTTAAAAAAAGTAAAAACAATGTACTTATAATTTAATATTTTATAACAATTCTATTAATTCTATATTAAATATCTGATAAATGACAGTAAATATGCCTTTGTTACTCCTCGATTTTAGTAAATTTGGAAATGATTTTGATAAATTATTTATGCATGCAGCACTTAATGAGAAATCGAGGGAGGAGTAGTAGGTAAGTGTCAGGAGGAGGAGTAGGTTAGGAGGAGTAGGTTGAGAAGAGTAGGTTAGTATTTTTGGTTTTAAAGAGTAAAATGGTCTTTTTTTTTATTAAAGGTTATCAATAGTCTGTTAAGTGTATATTTTATTTTTTTTATCGATTTAATATATCAAATTGATCTGATTTGTATAGTATCACATCAGTTTGATCATATCATCAATTTAATTCGTAAATTTTTCACTTTTTATTTATAAATAAAGTCATTTACATATTATCTAATCATCTTGTTTTTTTTTTACTTCTCTTTATTTTACTTTTTTTTTGACTTTTTATAGCTAACCTTTAATTTGAGCATTAAAGTGCAAGCGTAGGAAATACTCCTATCTTTGTTGTTAATCGCTCTTTTTCTCTCTTTTGTGATTTTAGGGTTTTACTTCTTAGGTCAAAACTCAGTATAATATTTAACATTCCAGGTAGAGGTAAATACATTTTTTAGCCAAACTAAATAATGCCACCTAGAAAGAGATTTCTTGAAGAAAGAGAGCCAAATGTTCTGGTTGGAGCTAAGATCCATGCCAACTAACCTACAGGTTGACTTGTGCCTGTGCAAATGAGACCAATCGCTGAATAATTTCAAGCCTTGAATAATGAAATCCAATCCTTTAACCAATTACTTCGAAATATAATCCCACTACAAACCTTCAAAGTATCCGATGTAGTCACATTTGGTAGAAAACTAGCAGAGAGACAATCAAGTTATGAAGATGTTCAGGCATCTTCAGCCTCCAAAGAAGAAGAATATATCGTTTTAGCTACCTATCACTATTACTTCAACCATAACTCCATTCATGCCACAGTCCAAAACTCAAACAGACTAACCTAGAACCGCAACCGAACAAAGACCTAGAAGTTAGGATGCAAGCCATGAAAAAAGAATTGAAAAGATAGGCCATTGCATTTGAAGATGAGCTAAGGCTCTTGCAGACCTCGGCCATCACTGAAGAAATAAATTGGACCATACTTCTAAGGGTTTAAAATGTCGACCTTGAAAACTTATGATGGTACAACTAACCCTTTTGATCATTTAAAATTTTATAAAACTAACATGATGATATGATAAGCAGATGAGGCTTTCATATGTAAAGGTCTGCCAACAACACTTAAAAGAACAGTTCGGTTTTGATATTGTCTTCTGAAACCAAGGTTTAATTACCCATTTAAAGAGCTCATTATGCCTTTGATATTATTTTGTCAGCAACAAAAGAACCAAGAAAACAACACTCAATCTAATATCCAAATACAAAGGCAAAAACGAGTCTCTAAAAGACTATGCAATATGTTTTAACGCATAAGTCTTCAAAGTAAAAGAGTTAGAGCAAACCATTGTAGCTGCTGCCATAGCTAGTAGACTCAATGATAGCTAATACCACTTGAAGCTTACATTATCCTTTAAACCTCCAAAGACCTCAGTGACATGTTAATTGTCAAGGAAAAATATATACATGTAGAAGCTACAATAAAAAATTGAAATGAGAAAAACTCATCCACCCTTCTTTGGTAGAAAAAAAGGTAAAAAAATCTATGATCTTTCCTCAAAAGGGAGATAACAAAGGTACCCTAAGACTAGGAGCTTGAGCAAATAACAAAACTACATAACACTAAATACCTCTAAAGAGAAGATTTTAATACAAATAAAAAAGGATCATAGGCTCAAATGGCTTAAAGCCACTTACCTAGAATACCTGACAAGACCCTAACAAAAAATACACATTTCATAAGGACTTTAGCTACAGCACTAAACACTGTATCGACCTAAAAAAATGAGATAAAAAGTCTATCAAAAGAGGTCGACTGGACAGATTTATGGATTAATCAAGATAGAGTTAGGGCAGACCAAATTACAAAAGGAGGAATTGAAGAAAAGAGTCAAAAAGCAATCATGAGAAAAATCAAAAGTGAACCAAAATAGTGTAAATCAAAAGAATGAACAAGAAGTTCTTTTTTTTTTTAATTTTTATTGGTCGAGTGACAAGCTCAAGTGTGGGAACCAAATCGTGAATGGTCACTTAATGATAAAGATTAGCTGAAAAACCCAAATGCTGGCTTGATTGACAAATATATGAGCTTTGAGAGATACTACTATGACCGAGAAGTGAAGTTGATGAAAAAAATAAAAATTACATAGGATGAAGTTCTTAGGTAGGTGCTTTTCAAGTGTGATTACTTACACCACCTCCCCTTTATTCTTTTTCGATGTATTTCTCTTTTCAAACTTAGTTGCATCTTTTAACTTAATCTTACCATTCTTGATTGCATTTTCTATCATTTCCCTGACAATCACTATGTCAACAAAGTTTTTGAAAATATTCTCAATCATTTTTTTATAAGAAAAAGTTTTTAGGGAATTGACAAATAGAACAATGATTTTTTTCTTTGACAGGGGTGGTTATACTTAGATTACCATGTTTCTCCATCTGTGTGCATATTCTTTGAAAGTTTCGATTAACATTTTTTCAATATTTTGCAAAGACAACCTATCTGGTGCCATATCTTCAACATGCTTGTATTGTGCTAAAAAAGCCCTAGCTAAATCATTCAAAGAGTAAATCTTGCTTGGTCTAGTTGGGCATACCACCTTATTACAAACTTGGTGAAACAATCTTAAAAGCAATGGATCAATAACTTATCATCATTAGTGTAGCCTGTCACATTTCGATAGTATATGATGATGTGTGCCAATGGGCATATCATTCCATTATACTTTTTTAAAATCTAGGCTTTAAATTTGGATAAAATGACTAGATCAAACACTAAACTAAGTTCGTCGACATCAATACTCTCATATATATCATGGCTTTTAATTGCCTTTAGTATTTCTTTCAATAGATCATATTTATCTTTCATCAACATATCTTTTGATGGATCTGGTACTTTTTTAGTTATCTTCATTCTTTTCGATCATCCAAATTAGGCACAGTAATGGAGTCATAAGGAGTAGGTATAAGGTTGATAAGTTGTTAGAGGTGCTTGTGACACATAAGGCTCTTGAACATATGGATATGTGAACCTAGGTGAACACAATGGTGCTTCAACAGCTGTTTCTCCCTTTTCTCGTGTGTTACAATAATTTTTTTTCTTTTGTCAAACCTACTAACATCTGTTTTAATTCTGCCAACTGTCTATCTATATTTTATTATATTCCCATTACTGTTTCCCTGATCTCTTTTTGGGCACTTGCCATTCTATCCATTCGACTTGCATTTTTATTTTTCATGATTTTGGTACAAGTTTGAGTGTTATAAGTGCATAGATTTAACTGATCTTATTTCTTATGATGCCCTATCATTAAACCTTTATTAATTACCAAAAGTAAAAAATGCATAACATGAATTCTATTATTAAAACTTTCAAAAATATCTTTTTACTTTGAAAGTTTGATAAAAATATATTCACAATCACTATTCCTTATCCTTTGCTAGCATGAAAAATAATGAATTCAAACAAATAATGCAGGATATGCAAGTCCAATTTTATTATTATTGAGAATGAGCTCAAATTCCCTCCTATATTCAAGTCGGGTTATTTAAAGGCATTCTTTTGCCTCAAAAGTTTGGTGAGAGCATATTTACAACCATTATTCTTTTTCACAGGCTCCTTGAGGCACATTGTTATTAAAAATGAAATGTAAACAAAGACGTCCATTCACAAAAAATTTAAATATTTTCTTTCATTCCCAAAAATTTCAATTTTACACATCATGAACTATCCTAAGACTAGGGCTGAAAAGTGCTAGACTAGCTCTTACTCCCCTTTGCCTCGCCTAAAAAATCTAAAAGAAGTTGACTATGATTGCAAGTAAGGATAACCCTTTGCTTTAAGATTTCTACTTTTTATTCATTATCTTGGCTAATTTGACTATTGTTTATAGCACTACTTGCTATCTCGGTATGGATCGATGAAGGATTCCTATAAATAATTAGCTTTATTTTAGCATTAAAACTTAAATATTTGACTTTCATCAATCCTTGTACCTTATATTTCAAATATATGTAATTTTTTAGAGAATGGCCTACAATGCCAAAATGGTATTCACATCGAGCATTGGGATCATACCATTTGGGATAAGGTGGTTTGAAGGGTTCAATAGGGATAAGGGTAATGAGATAGTTTTTTCGAAACAGTGGGTATAAATCTATGTAAGATATAGGTATTGGGTAAATAGGGATTTTTCCTTTGGTGTTAGTGGTGTGAGAGTTCTTCTATTCTATGGTTGTTTGCTTTGATAGAAAAATAAGGCTATAGTTGGTGTTGGAGTGAATTGAAAAACTTTAGGACAAAAATTAGGTTAAGATGGTGGTGATAAGATAGCATGCTAAATAAGTGGTTGTGAAATATGAGGTGGTGGACATGGATTCATGTGTGGAATTCTCAAAAGTTGCATAAAGTTTAGGGGTTTAATCCTAGGAGCTTGGAAAGAAGGTCGAAAGCAATCATGAGAAAGATTTAGGTGCAAGTTTAGACTTAGGATAGTTAGTAGGGGTTGTTTGAAGCAAGTGACTCCATCTTAATCAAACTTTTGGGTTCAGTCATTTGTGTGACCAATTCACCCATTCTTTTCTTGAGCTTACCCAAACTTTGGTTATAGTTTGGATCATCAAATGCCTTAGTATTTTTAAGAAAAATATCAAAATCAAATGAGCTAGTTGATCTTGATTTGATGG